GATCCGCCTGCCTCTGCCTCCCTAGTGCTGGGATTAAAGGCATGCGCCACCACCGCCCAGCTTTCTTTTTCTTTCTTTCTTTTTTTGACCCCTGGATGCCCTAGAACTTCCCACGTAGACTAGGCTGGCCATGAACTCAGAGATCTACCTCTCCAACACAGGGATCAAAGGTGTGCGCCACCACGTTCAAGTATGATAATTGATCTTCAGCGTTGACTTGAATAGAACTACAATCGTCTGGGAAACACGCCTTTGTGACAACTAATCTTCAGTGTTGACTTGAATAGAACTACAATCGTCTGGGAAACACGCCTTTGGGTGTGTCTATGAGGGTGTTCCCAGGGAGGTTTGTGTGGAGATAGGTGACCCAGTTTGGATGTGGCAGCACTGTGACCCCTGGGTTGGGCAATAAACCGAAGGAAAGGAGACAGGGGGCTGATGCTGAATTCATGTCTCCCTGCATCCTGACTCTGGACACAGTGTGTGGCCAGCCATCCCATGCTCCCAGGGCCGTGCAGTCCCTGACGTGCTGCGGTCCCTGACATGATGCGGTCCCTGAGGTGATGGGCTGTAACCCTTCAAACTGTCAGGCTAAGTCAATGTTGCTTTGGTCAGGGGTGTGATCACGGTTATGAGAAACGCAATTGCTATAACATGGTGACGAAGCTTACGCTCACTAGTCAAAGGGGCTGCTCTTTCCCTGCCCCTTCACACCTGCGGCTTCTCTCGACTCCACTGTGTGTCTCGCTAGGGCCGGAGCTTCCCGCAAAGCCTGTGGGAGTGGAGTTCCTGCCCCATCGCCCTCCCTGCGTGCCTGTGTCCGCTTCTCTCTGGTGTTCCCTTTGGAAACTCGTCTGTCCCTAGCCTCGGATGCCGCCCTACCCTGGGGATTCTTCACCCGCAGCCTACACGTTATCCTGCACTGAACTCCGGCTGACACAATGCCACTCTGTCCCGTGTGTGTGCCACACGGCACCTCACCTGCATGCCTGAAGCCGGCTGGTCAGGACTGGAGAGTTGAGAGCACACTCTGCTTTTGCAGAGGACCTCAGCTCATTTCTCAGCGCCAATGACAGACGACTCACAAGTGCCCCTAACTCCAGCTCCAGGGGATCCGATGCCCTCTCCCATACACAGCTTTTAAAAATAAATGTTTTGGCTTCTTTGGTTTTTTGAGACAGGGTTTCCCTGTGTAGCTTTGGAGGCTGTCCTGGAACTATCTTTTGTAGACCAGGCTGGCCTCGAACTCACAGAGATCCGCCTGCCTCCCGAGTGCTGGGATGAAAGGCGTGTGCCACCAACGCCCGGCAAATCTTTTTTTTTTTTAATAACTAAACTAACTTGACAATGGCTTCCTGTCCTCCACAACCCATCCACATCTTTTCTGTGGTCGAGTTAGATCCAGTGAATAAGTCAGAGACCTAGTGACCTTTTCCAGTACCCTCTTCCTCCTCATCCCTACACACACACAGACACACACACACACACACACACACACACACACACGTATGCACGCACGCACTCATGCACTGACGCACGCACGCACATACTCTGGGCTAGAATGAGCCACCTCCACAGCCATCACTAACCCTCACCCTCACCACCCCTGGGACCAAAGGTCTAGGACTAAGCTCCTCTCCTCGCTCCTCCAGCGTGTGACTCGGGGTTTCAGAGCACACTGAGCCACTTGGTGCTCTCCACTCTGGGCTCTGGGGAGTTAACTTGGGGAGCCTTTTCCGACGTTTTCCTGAACCCTGTGCACCCCTCCTCTCAGCACCCTCCAGCACGTAGCAACGGCCACAGCTACCTGCTTCTCGAACTCTCCTGGCGGTTCCTTCAGCACGGGGGGGGGTCATCGTTCAGCTAATGCCTGGCGTATGGTGGGGCAAGGAGCCAATGCCAGGGGACCCTTGGGTAGGAAATTACATTCTCCCGAGACAGCCCAGCCTCTGCACCATCGGGAAAAACCAGTACTTCATTCTATAGCCTCTACATTTCTCAGTAGTCTCCACCTGAAACTCACCGGGTAGCCCAGGCTGGCCTCAGAGTATATCTTGTGTCAGTCTCCCAAACTCTGGGATTGAAGTTTTTCTTTTGAGACAGGCTCTGTGCAACACCCTTGGCTGTCCTGGAACTTGCTCTGTAGCCCAGGCTGGCCTTGAACTCAGAGATGGGCCTGCCTCTGCCTCCTGGATGCTGGAATAAGAGGCGGAGACTAAACCTTAATGTAAAGCAGGGTGACACACCCCCGTAATCCGGTGTTTGAAAGCAGAGGCAAGAGAATCAAGACTGAATCCAGTCTACTGGCCGTCCTAGAACACACGGGTGCTCAGTAACATTTGCTGAAGGCCGTGGATAAACTTCAGAGGCACAAACGAGGTGTTTATTGGCTGGGGATGTGGTATGGAGATGTAAAACTGCGCTCTGTGTAAGCGGAGACTTTAGTGGACGGTTGGAAATGTTGAGAAAGGACCTGGAGACTCCCAGTTCCAAGGGGGTGGCCTTTGATTTCCTGTTAACAACAGGCAAAGGTCATTTGTTTAAGAAGGGAGTGTTGCGGTCACGTCTCAACTTTTAGCATGGGATCTGGGCACTGGAAAACAAGCTGGGGTGTGGGTGGATGTCCCGGGATTACGGATAGAAATAGCTTCATCCAAGCAAGAGGTGGGACCCCACGCAGGCAGTGAGACCCTGTCTCCTAAGACAGGAGGATGCAGTGTTGCAAAACTGTTTGCAACAGGGCTGCATGGACCCGGGGACTAACTGGATCCCACTGGAGTTTTGAGGGAGGGGACAGTGGCCGGACGGGCAGTGAGGAACTCTTGAGACCGCGCAGAAACAGCTTGGCATTTGGCGATGTTGGGTCTGGGTTGCCTGGGGAGCGGCTTTCTCTGAATCTCCAGGAATTGTGCCACCGCCGCCCGCGCCTCCTACCCTTTCTCTCTTTCCTGTAGTGATCACCCCAAGTCCTGGATGCTCCCTACAACCCAGTTTGGGGGTGGGCACCCCGCCAACAGGCCCCACGGTCTCGAAGACCCCGGGTTCAGGCTTGGTGGGTCGGGCTGGGACCAGTGGGGTGGGGAAGTGGGGCGGCTCCGGGACAGGAAGGCGGGCGGGCGGGCGGGCGAGCGGGAGGGCGAGCCTGCCGCTGGGCACACACAGGCGCTTCCTGCGCGGCAGGCAGCAGGTGCCCGGGCCAGCTGTTCCAACCCTTCAGGCTCAGAGCAACAGGATGGGCCAGGCCGAGCGGAAGGAAGCCTGCAGGGAGGGACGCCCCTGCAGACAGAGGCAGGGGCACCGGGTGGAGGGAGGCAGGAAGAGCTGCCCGGGTTGCTGAGCTGGCGCTCCTCCAGCGGACTCGGGGCAGGCAGTGACAGGAGGCCATTCAGCCACCGCCCCCACCCCCCCCGGGGGCCACGGTGCTGTCACCACTGCGCTGCCGGCTGCCTTGAGGCACTCCACCACGAGGAGCCGTGAGAGATGGTGGCGGTGGCGGCCTCTGCGACAGCCCCGTCCCCCGTGCCCGTCCCCAGGGCCGCGGTGACGGGCGGGGGCAGGGCAGTAGAGACAGCCCCCAGGAGGGCAGGGACTGTGCTCGCACCAAATCTCTGGTCTGCTGTCAGCGCCGCTACCGCCGCCCCCGGCTCCGACAGCTGCTGTGAGCCCGCTCGCACGGCCGGGGGTGGGGGCAGAGCAGCCGAGAGCCCCGGGGCCGGGAGGTCACAGCCCCCGCCCCCCCCCCGGGCCGCAGCGCACACGAGGGCGGCTTCCCCGCCCCAGCCCCGGGGCGGCTGCACTCAGGGGCCCGGGACCGGAGCCCCACCCCCGGGCACGCCTCGGGAGGGAGGGACGGGCTCGCACGCTGCACTGTGAACTCCTAAGGGCGCCCGGCTCAAACTCGAGGCTGCCACCGAGCGCTCGGGTCTGGGGGGACCTGGGGGGGAAGGGGAGTCTGGGGCTCCGGGACGGGCTTCCCGGGGGTCCCCGCAAGGGCGGGTCCCGCCGGCGCCGGTGCCGCAGCTGGGGGGACGGGCGTGGGCGTGGAGTGCGAGCAGGTGTCTGCTCCGTGACCGGGCTCCCCGCCGCCGCCTCCGGCTCGCCCTGGCTCTCCCGCTCGCCCTGGCTCTCCCGCTCGCCCTGGCTCTCCCGCTCGCCCTGGCTCTCCCGCTCGCCCTGGCTCTCCCGCTCGCCCTGGCTCTCCCGCTCGCCCTGGCTCTCCCGCTCGCCCTGGCTCTCCCGCTCGCCCTGGCTCTCCCGCTCGCCCTGGCTCTCCCGCTCGCCCTGGCTCTCCCGCTCGCCCTGGCTCTCCCGCTCGCCCTGGCTCTCCCGCTCGCCCTGGCTCTCCCGCTCGCCCTGGCTCTCCCGCTCGCCCTGGCTCTCCCGCTCGCCCTGGCTCTCCCGCTCGCCCTGGCTCTCCCGCCGCTCGGTGCGGTCCACCCGGCCGCCGCCACCGCGCCAGACCCACGGGGACACGGCCAGGCTCGGCCCCGCGCTCGAAGCCTCGGCTCGCCCGGGGGTCCCGCCCACTCCCTGGCGGGGCCGGGGCCGGGACGCCGCGGGCGAGCGGGCGCGCAGGGGGCAGGGCGGGGCGGGCTTCCCTCCCCCTCCCCGCCCCCCACGTGGGGCCGGCTCCCCCCCAAAGCCCGGACGCCTCCCAGGGATGTCCCCGCCGGCGGCGCCGCCCCCACCCACCCCCACCCCCGGAGGCACGGACGGGGCGGGATGCGCGGGAGGGGGCGTCCCGGAGGAGGGGTGGGGTCTCCCGCCCTGAGTCCCCCCTCCCCGGGGCAGGGCCGGGGGGACGCGGCGCCCCGGGGCTTGTGTACACGCTCGGCGGCCCGAGCCTCCTGCAGCCGGGCAGCCGCTGATCACGCGTGGCCCCGCGAGCCCATTGGCTGCCGCCTCACACACCTTTGCCGCCGATTGGCCGGCGCCAGGCCCCGCCCCCCGGCCCGGGCCCCCGCCCCGCGGCGCGGGGCAGGCAGAGCGGCTACCTGAATGGGGAGGGGGGCAGACGGCGCGGAGCGCGGCGGCGGCGACGACGTCCTTGTCGTCTGGAGTCTCGGGGCGCCCGCCGTCGGGGGCCAGGCAGCCGGCTGCAGCTCGGAGGCGCCGCGCCTCGCCCGCCACCCAGCCATGCTCAACTTCGGCGCTTCTCTCCAGCAGGCGTCGGTAAGTCACCTGGGGATGCTCGACCCTGCCCGCCCAGGGTCGTCCCTGCCTTCCCGCCCGCTCGCCTGCCCGCCCAGGGTCGTCCCTGCTTTCCTGTCCGCTCGCCTGCTCGCCCAGGGTCGTCCTGCTTGCCTGCCTGCTCGCCCACTCGCTTGCTCTCCCAGGGTCGTCCCTGCTTTCTTGCCCGCTCACCCAGGGTCCCCGAGCCCGAGTCCCCGCATCAGCCACGCCTGAGGACCCAGACTGCTGCAGCGGGGTCTCGCCGGGGTGTCCCGCCCGCAGGCTGGGGACATCATCGAGGGCGTGTGCGGAGGACGGGGCGGAAGGGGGGAGCCAGCCTTTCGCGGGGGGATGGCTGACCTGGACCGGGGCGGCCGTGCGCTCTCGCGCCTGCCCGGGAGAGCACCGGGGCGTCTGCGGGACACCCGGGGGAGGAGAGCGAGCCGCAGGGGGCGCCGCGCACCTGGCACTGGCGGGAGGTGCCCCCAGTCTGCGGCAGGAGCGCCCCCCGGGGTGGCGGGGACGGACCCGGGCGCTGTGTGCCCGCGAGGCGGGCGCCTGCTCGTCCAGGGAGGGAAGCCGGGTGGGCGGGCGGGCGGGCGTGCGTGCGTGCGAGCGCTGCCAGGTGGGGACCGCGCGGCTGGGCGAGCCCGGGGCTGGGGGAGGGGACGCAGGGGACCCCATCCCGGGCTGCAGACGCAGGTGGCCGCCCGGGGAGGACTCTCGGCGCCGGGGGGCGGGTGGATAATAACGGGGGGGCTGGGTCCTGCCGACAGCTGGGCGGGGGAGCGGGGGCCGCGGAGCCCGCGCCCGTGGGCGCCGCACGTCTGGGGAAGTCTGCGGAGCGGCGGCTCGCCCGGGCCGGGGAGACGCGGGTGGAGCGAGCGCCCCGGGATCGCTCCCGGGAGGAGGAGGAGGGCGGCGGCGGCCGGGCTTCCGCGGGGACCCGGCGGCTGCTCCTCCTCCTGCTGCTGCTCGCGGGGAGCTCCTCGTCCCCGAGTGACCCGGCCCCGGCCCCCGCCAGGCAGGGGCGGGAGGGAGCCAGGCCGGGCTGTCGGTTCCTAAGGGAACCGCGGCTCCGGGGGAGGCGGCAGGGGCGGGCGCCGCCCGGTGCGCACTGGCGAGCGGTTGGCGGCGGCGGCGCCCGCGGCCCCTCCCCCGGCGGGCGGGCGGGCAGGGCGAGCGCGGCGGGGGCGGGGCCGCGCTCAGGAAGTAGGGGAAAGGTGACGGCGCGGCGATCCCCAGTTCACGTTTCCTGCGCGGCCCGGGCAGCCGCTGATCACGCTTTGTTCACATGCCTCGCCGCCCCCCGGCGGCCCCGCCCCCCGGCGGCCCCGCCCCGCGCCGCCCAGCCAATCCGCGCGCGGGCCGCAGGCCGGCCGGCCAATGGCAGGGGAGGGGCGCGCGGCGGGGACGCGCGTGCGCGCCCGCGGCGGCGGCGGCGGGCAGCGTGCCCGGTGACTCACCCCGCCGGCGAGGATCTCCCCCGCCGGCCTCCTGCGCCCGCCCCGCCCCGCCTCGCCCCCGCCCGGCTTCCCTTTCCTGCCTCGCACCGCCGGCTCGCTGCTCCCCTCCCAGCTTCCCCTCCCGGCGCGCATTCCTCACCCCTGCCTGCCTGTCTGCCTCTCCCCTTTCTTCGCGGTGGTGCCTGGAGGCTTTTTTAACACTCGCGCGGGTCCACGCATTGCCGCTTACATAAAGGCGCGAACGATTATGCAATTTGCATTGTTGGTAATATTTCCAGAACAGTGTCTTTCCCCACACACACTCAATAGGAAGATAGACATTCTTTGAAAAAAAAATTTTAAAAAGCTTTAAGTCTGTCTGCAATTTCGTTTTGATTATTAGGTTTTGTCCTGTCCGTTTTGAGCGAGGCTGACAGCGAACTTGATAAATAGCCAAAGCCAGCCTTGAGCTCTGGTCCCCTGACTGCCTCGCAATAATGCTTTCCATCATTTTTGCAACCTCTGCTTGGACCGGAAGGCTTTGGAAGTTCTTTCTAAAATGAAAGTAAAACGTGGTGGGTGTTGCTTTTGAAATGCAGCTCAGAGAACTTTATTCAAACTGTAAGGCTGAAGGAGTTGCCGAAACACAAAGCATAAACCGTGAATCAAGCCGCGTTTTAAATAAATTAAAAAACAACATATACACTGTGGATAGTTTTTGGTTGTTTTGTGAATTCTAAGCCCATTACATTTTGTGGCTGTCTGCTCCCTTACGGTGCGGCAAGCCATTGGGTTGGGTAGGTCCAGTAAAATAAGGGATGTGGAGAGATTGAGACCTGGCCAGTCTTTCCTTTGCTGTTGTATGTGTGTTTTATTTGCTTTGAGATGGCAGCCCCCAACTGCTTCTCCTCCGCAGACCTGAGTTTACACGAGTATTCCACCACGCCTGGCTAGATTTTATTTTATTTGATCTTTACCATGCGTAATGGAGTTACCAATTTCGGCCTTCGGGTACTTGGATATAACTTTTAACTTGGAAGTAGTTTAAGTCAAATTGCATTTTAGGGCCAGCACTGGTCTTGGCTCCCTTGCTGTAATAAGGTGGCGTCCTCTAAATTTGAAGGGTGTTTTACAGACAACAGAGAAGTTGTGCGCCCCTGTCATTTGAGTATCGAGGAGTATGCTGACGAACTTTAACCTTGTCTTTCATAGGAGGAGAAAATGGAAATAATGTCTGAAAAGCTGAAGGAGGGCGTGTATGCCCGGAACAAGACGGAGAAGAGTGACTTTGAAGCCGTGGAAGCCCTCATGTCTATGAGCTGCGACTGGAAGGCTGGCTTCAGGAAATACCTTGAAAACAGGCCTGTCACCCCGGTGTCTGACACCTCCGAGGAGGAGGGCTTGCTTCCTGGGACTCCCGACCTCCACACAATCCCGGCGTTTGTGAGTATCCTCTAGTGGGTAGAAGTCACAGCATCTTTCCAGCACTGACGTGATGAATTCCTGATTTCTCACGGTGTCGCCTGTGTTTTCCTTTGTAGTGTTTGACCCCGCCTTACAGCCCCTCTGACTTTGACCACTCTCAAGTGTCAGCTGTGATGGCCCCAGCGCCACCTACTGGCCTCTTCAAGCCATTCTCTGATGCCACCAAGGCTCCAGTTGCGGTGCCTCCCTTCAAAGAGGACAAGGGTCCTGCCCCTCTCCTCCCCAAAGCTCAAGCAACAAGTGTCATCCGTCACACGGCTGATGCCCAGCTGTGTAACCACCAGACCTGCCCTGTGAAAGCAGCTAGCGTCCTCCCCTCTCAGGACAATTCTCTCCCAAGAAGGACCCACCTAAGCACCGAGGCTGCGAGGAAGAGCATCCCCTGCGCAGCCGTGTCGCCAAACAGATCCAAATGCGAGCAGACCGCAGCCGCAGCCCGTGACGAGAAGGCGGGGACGGCACCGTATGACTTGGCTGTGCCTTCCTCGGAGACGGTCATCTGCAGGTCTCAGCCAGCTCCTGCGTCCCCGCTGCAGAAGTCAGTGCTGGTCTCTTCACCTACGGTGTCCCCTGGGGGAGTGCCACCCGTGCCTGTAATCTGCCAGATGGTTCCCCTTCCTGCAAACAACTCCCTTGTGACCACAGTTGTCCCCAGCACTCCAGCCAGCCAGCCGCCGGCCGTCTGCCCCCCTGTGTTGTTCATGGGCGCTCAGGTGCCCAAGGGCACCGTGATGTTCGTCGTGCCCCAGCCCGTGGTGCAGAGCCCCAAAGCTCCGGTGGTAAGCCCCAATGGCACCAGACTGTCTCCCATCGCCCCTGCGCCTGGATTCCCTCCTTCGGCAGCGAGAGTCACTCCCCAGATCGACTCCTCCAGGGTGAGGAGTCACGTCTGTAGCCACCCGGGATGTGGCAAGACTTACTTTAAAAGTTCTCACCTGAAGGCCCACGTGAGAACACACACAGGTACTGCCTGCCTCTGTGCGTGTGCGTGTGCGTGTGCGTGTGTGTGTGTGTGTGTGTGCTTTGAAATGAGTGTGGCCGCAAGTACAAACTTAAGTGTATGGAAGGGTTTGTTTGCCTGGAAGCTCGCTTGGATGATAAAGTGTCTTTTAAATTGCTAAGTTTGTCCTAGGGGTCAAGTGGCACACCTTGTGATCTCAGCACTCGGGAAGTAGAGGCAGAGGCAGACGCACACGTCTAGTGATGCGTGTGTTATCGTCTCTGCCTCCCAAGTGCTGGGGGTTACTGCGTGTGCATTGCCCCCAGCACGTGTGGTGACACCTGGCTGTACTTAGCTAAGCTTTGGATTTTAAGTCACGCGTCCACATCTAGCTCTAGGTGAGGTAGACAGTAGGCTCCGAGTCCCTCGGGTGTAGTAACCGCCTGGCTTTCTTTGTTTCAGGGGAAAAGCCCTTCAGCTGCAGCTGGAAAGACTGTGAAAGGAGGTTTGCCCGCTCTGATGAACTGTCCAGACACCGGCGAACCCACACGGGCGAGAAGAAATTCGCCTGTCCCATGTGCGACCGTCGGTTCATGAGGAGTGACCATTTGACCAAGCATGCCCGGCGCCACCTGTCAGCCAAGAAGCTCCCGAACTGGCAAATGGAAGTGAGCAAGCTGAATGACCTGGCCCTACCTCCAACCCCGGCCTCTGCGCAGTGACTGACAGGCCGGCCGGAGGCGAAGAGGAGTCAGAGCTAACCTTGATCAGTCAGAGCCGGCGATGGCGTCAGAACGCTTCCGCAGGTCTGTGGCCCTCCAGCGGGGCTATGCAGAAGCCCCTGGCTGAGGGGAAGGCCAGCCCGGGTTACATGACAAGTGTTTCGGCCACAGGCAGGCCACGGAAGGGCAGGTTTCGTTCCTTCCACATAAAGAGATGAGATAGCCTTTATTCCTTGGATCATGGTGAAGGTTCCAGATGAGGTCAGCACAGACTCTGAGTCACATCCACACTGGGTACCTTGTTTCTGCTGTTTATACTTGAGACCAGCTCTGCCTGGGATTCTGTGAAAGCGATGGTTTTTGAGAATCTAGAGGCTGGGAATTCCGGTACAGAGATGGAGGGAGCTAAAAAAATGAGTTTGTTCGGCAGGGATGCCATCTCCTCCTAGAGCTATCTTTATTACTCCTCCTCATCTTTCCAGTCGGCTTTGGATGTGGTTATTAAGTCTACAACTATCATTTTTCACTATTGCTGGTATTTACAGTTGAACAGCTGTACATTGTTAAGGGGGGGCCAAAGAACTGGAACCCTCATTAATTTAATTGCTTGGAAGTGCAGCTAAAAAAATAAAGGGTTTATTTTTTGGTTTTTTCTTTTTCCTTTTTATTTTTTTTTTTGCATTTTTGTTTTGAAAGTTTTGACAACAGCATTTAGGCATTTTACTCTACTTTAGACTCAGTTTGCCTGCAGTTTCTTGTGTAGATTTGAAAATTGTATACCAATGTGTTTTTTGTAGGCTTAAGATACACTGCACTTTGTTTAGAAAAAAAAATCTGAAGGTGAAAATATGGATTGTAAAGAGGGGACGTCAGAAGTTTGAGGTAACTCCTGAGAAAGATGGTTTCATGTCATCGGTGAAGGGAGCTCATGTCAAAGACGCGCCGCGCTTTCAAAAACTAGGAGGTTAATGACCATTACAGGTGACAGTTTTTCAGGGTGTGGGAATAGATAGGTAGAAAATTAATAGAACATTCACTTCCAACTTGAAAACAATGTTCACGACACAGTACTTCACCGCAAGGTTTGGGCACCTTGGGAACTCGGAGACATCACACGTAATTCACACCCACAGTGGTCTGCAAGCCCTTCCTGAAACAGTGACTTTGGCTAACAGTGTTTCTGTTCCGTTGTAAAGTGGATAATACACTTGATAGTAAAGGTAAATTATTCAAAATACATAGTGAAAGATTGTCACTATACCTTCCCATTTAAGCTGTTTCTGTACTTTGGGTGTCGGTTTCTGACATGCAAACTTGAACCGTTGAGAAAGATTTTTCTTAAAAAAGTTATAAAGAATCATGAGTTCCAATTTGCACAATATTTTTTGTTGTACTTTATACCTTGTTTACAATAAAGAATTTCCTTTGTTATACACTGGGTTTGTTTTGTTAAAAATCCATTCTCCATCTCACCTCAACACGGGTCTCGTTCCCGTTAGAACCTGAAGCCAGGCCGGGCGTTGGTGGCACACACCTTTAATCCCAGCACTCGGGAGGCAGAGGCAGGCGGATCTCTGTGAGTTCCAGACCAAGCCTGGTCTACCGAGCAAGTTCCAGGACAGCCTCCAAAACAATACAGAGAAACCCTGTCTCAAACTAAAAAAAAAAAAAAAAAAAAAAACCCTAAAGCCAGATTTCTTTGGGATGATATGTAAGCTAGTGTGGTGATATTATTTATGACTTATTAAAGCTTACCTGGGAATTCAGAAAGCAAAGCCAGTGTCAAACTATAAAAATCAGGTGGTGGTGGCCACACCTTTAATCCCCGGATCCTGGAGATGAAGGCAGATGGATCTCTTGAGTTCACGGCAACCCTGGGCTACGCAAGATTGAACCAGTCTAAAAAGAAACAGCACTCATACCCTTAACCCCAGGACTCATGAGAGGTATTTAGACAGGAACAGAGTCTCAGAGCTGGCTTTCATTCTCCAGCCACATTGAGGATAGGAAAGGTGTTGTAGTCTCTGGTCAGGAGGAGAACACAGCGGTCTGAGTGAACCTGAGGAGCCGTGAAGTCGGGAGCGATCTGACCTTTAACTGAGCTGAGGTAAAGGTGAAATCTACTGGCTTGGCTGCTTTGCTTTTCTGAAGCTTGAACCCCAGTATCAGTCCCTGGGTCTCTTATTTATCATGCTACAAGTCAGCCTGTTGGGTAAGTGGTTTTCGGGCGTTTGGCTTTTGGGATGGCTCTGGTGTGTCAGCCAGGATGGCTGTCAAGCCTCGCCTCCCAAGTGTCAGGAGGTGTAAGTGTGAACCACCACAGTCGGCTAACATTTTAGTTTCTAAATATTCTCGGTACATTTTGATCATCTGATCTTCAAATAAGCTCTGGCCCTCGGTGAGACCTTGTTAAGTAGCTTTGGAGCTAACTAGAACACCACAGTGAATTTACATGCAATGCAGCTTCTGCGGGGGGGGAGGTAGGGGCTTCTCCAAGTTAAAGTCACTCAGACCAAGAAGTGACACCTTAGATGCCGTGGGCAATGCTGGCACTCAGCAGCAGGGGAGGCCACTCCCCCTCTGGAGAGAGGCACAGCTGTAAAAAGTGCATGGATGTTCATAATGCTCTTGAAAACATTACAAAGGCTGACTTAAACCCTGGTCTAACGTCTGGCTCACCTTTTGAGACAAAGTCTCACCGTAGCCCAGGCTGGCCTGGAACTCACTAGATAGCCCAGGCTTTCCTCAAAGGTGTGCTTCACGGCTCCAAGTTCAGATGACCTGGTTTTGCTTACACTCTTCTCCACTGGTTGGGTGTGTGAACCTCATCCGAGGTGAGTGACTGGGGTATGCTAATCCCTTCGTTGCATGTGTTCATTCATTGTATATGCTAGTCCATTGTACATTCCGTGACAAAGATTTACCTACTTTATTCCTGCCAGTGTGTTTGTGGCTTTACGTATGCCACTCCCTACGTTACAAACGTTTAATGTTGTGACTCAGTTGGCCCTTGTTAGCTCTGAGCAGTTAGCCATTTTGATCGACAAGGGTGGGGGTGGGGGAGTCTATGGTTCAACCCATTCTTTCCCCCTGGGATAAATTGTGATTGTTTCGAAAGGTGCATACTCTGGTCTTGATCTTGCCATCTCCCTGTCTCAGCCTAAGTGGCGACGTTTTACTTTCTTGTTTTGTTTTTTGTTTTTTTTGTAGCTAAAGCAGGAGAGGTTTTTTCAGCCAGCCCCACACTGCTAACTAGTCTAATCCAGCATCTCACGGCTCCTCCCTGATTTTCTGTCCCTCGTCCCTTCTTGCAAACTAGTCTTTCCCTTCAGAAAAAGGGAGGTCGGATCAGATCACCTCTGTTTAAAACATTCTGAAACCTCCCAGTGCACAAAGGATGAAGTCTGGATGCTTTTATTTCCCTTCTTGCTTAACGTGTTTCAAACAGGCAACCCAGGCCGACCTTGAACTCCCGACCCCCTGGCTTCCACTTCCCAGAGCAGAGACAACGGGCACGCACCACCAAACGGCTCCTTTTGGTTTTCATAAAACCAGGTCTTGCTGTGTAGCCCAGGCTGGCTGCAAACTTGCTGCAGTTTTACCTGAGCCTCCCTCCGGGTGTGAGCTGCCCGCCGGCCGCTGTGTGACAGATGAGTCGTGCGATTTACATTTTCAGCCAAGCTCTGTTGGGCTCGCTTCTGACTCCAGCACTGGGGAGGGTGACTGGGAATGCAAGGTCAGTTTGCTTAACATATGAAGTTCCGGGCTAGCCGGTGCTACGTGGCGAGACCCTGTCTTAAACTACTTTCTGGCCGCTGCATCCTAGAAGTAAAAAGTGAGAAAAACCAATGTTAACATTAATCCTGTATATCCAAAATATTCCTACATGGAGTCAGTGGAATTGCCTGTGGAACTAAAGCTTGGAAACACATTCTTTTTTTTTTTTTAAAGATTTATTTATTACATATACAGTGTTCTGTTTACATGTCAGAAGAGGGCACCAGATTGAATTATAGATAGTTGTGAGCCACCATGTGGTTGCTGGGAATTGAACTCAGGACCTCTAGAAGAGCAGTCAGTGCTCTTAACCTCTGAGCCATCTCTCCAGCCCTGGAAACACATTCTTATGTGTTTACAGTACATCCTACTTGGGGCCAGCCACGTTCCAGTGTTTGGGAGTCACAGGCTTGGGGCCCCGGGGAGACCCCCAATACCCAGCATCACTAGGCGTCTGCCAGGCCCTCCCCATCCAATTCCACCTCACCCTTTACTCCATGCCCAAGCTCTGAGCCTTCTTCTGCGCTACTTAACGTGGGGAATGTTTTCCCTGCCCTTTTCCCTTGACATTTCCACTATCATAATCATTACCCTTTACTGAAATTGCTTCATGTCTCTGTTTTCTTTCCTTGACTGTAAAACTCCCCAAGGACGGGAGTCTGAGTCTTGTCCTCGGTGTCTAACGCAGCCCCCAACACGTATCGGGCTCAGTCAGTTTGCTAAACTGGAAACTGAACCAAAACGGAAGCCATTGCAACCGCAGGAAGAGAATGGCTAGGAAGCTGTTCCGTGACACGCGGGATACAGGCGACAGCCACGAGACGCTGAAACCGCCCCATCGTTCTTGGCTAGCGCAGGAAGGACCACTTAGCCCGCGGTAGACTACTTGTCCGGCGGGTGTCAAACATCACAGCACAAAAACAGTTGGGGCACACAGATTCTTTACGTCGAGTTTGTTTGTTTGTTTTTGCTTTAAACAGGACAGGGTTAACATATAATAGCGATGACGTTCATAGGTCCTTCAAGAGAGTCAAATTCCTTGTCTGGAACTGCTGAGAAAAGTCACCCTCATGCTCCTCCTAAACTTTGTCGTTGCTCTCGGGGAGGACTTCACCAGGAGCACGGGGCATGCAAGGAGCACAGGTCACCCACCGTGCCTTGTGCCTTGGAAGGAGCACAGTCTTCCCGAAGATGAATGGGCGTTGTGCTGCTGATGCCAGAGTCCCAAATCCAGTTCTGGGGTGAAGACCGGGCTGAGCCATGACAACGAGTTGACTCACTGGCGCCAGGGTCTCTCTCTACCCAGGTAGCAGTGCCCCAAAGGACGTGACAGTGAGAGCATCAGTCAACTTGAAAGACCTGCGATTTACACGAGAGAGACAGAGACAGAGACAGAGACAGAGACAGAGGGGGGAGAGAGAGACAGAGAGAGAGAGGGGGAGACAGAGAGAGACAGAGACAGAGAGAGACAGAGACAGAGAGAGACAGAGACAGAGAGAGACAGAGACAGAGAGAGACAGAGAGAGAGAGAGAGAGAGAGAGAGAGAGAGAGAGAGAGAGAGAGAGAGAGAGAGAGAGAGAGCATGGAGAGATTTACACAAGAGACTGACTATAGAAACTGACACGCTTACAGCTGTCAGACTGGACCCAGGAGAGTTCATGATGCGTTCCTAGTACAAATTCCAGCAGGCTCAAAACCCACTCACAGGTCTCGCTTTGTTGTTGTTTCTGAGAAAGGGTCTTATGTAGCCCAGTCTGGCCTTGAACTCACAGTGTAGCTGAGGATGACTGTGAGCTTCTGATGTCCCCCAGCCTCCTCTTTTGTTTGGTGACAAGGTTTCACTTTTAGCTCAGGTTAGCCTGGGACTCACAATCCTCCCAAGTGTCGGGGTTGAGAAGTGTATGCGATTCATTTCAGGTGCAGGTGCAGGAGGAGGGGGCGTGATCTGGGAGCAGCAGGAGTTTTCCCTTGCTCAGCCTTTTGTTCTATTCAGGTCTCCTACGGAGTGAGACCCCACCCGTATTAGAGACTGTAAATCCGCTTCACTCAGTGTATCCGGGTACGCCCTTAGAGACCCATGCAGGGCATTTGACCATAGATGGGCATTCTGCAGCCAACCAATTGATGCACAGTTAACCTCCATCGCCTATGGATGATAAGAAGCTCACTGCTGGAAGTGTGTGAGTGTGAGTGTGTGTGTATGTGTGTGGTGTGTGTGCAAATGTGTATGTGTGTGCAACTGTGTGTATGTGCGGTGTGTGTATGTGTGCGGTGTATGTGAAAGTGTGTATGTGTGTGACATGTGTGTGGTGTGTGTGCAAGTGTGTATGTGTGTGACATGTGTGCATGTGTGTGGTGTGTGTGCAAGTGTGTATGTGTGGTGTGTGTATGTGTGTATATATATGTGTGGTGTGTGTGTAGTGTGTGTGTATGTGCAACTGTGTGTATGTGTGGTGTGTGTGTATGTGTATGTGTGGTGTGTGTGTATGTGTGGTGTGTGTGTGTATGTGTGGTGTGTGTGTATGTGTGGTGTGTGTGTATGTGTGGTGTGTGTGTATGTGTGGTGTGTGTGTATGTGTGGTGTGTGTGTATGTGTGGTGTGTGTGTATGTGTGGTGTGTGTGTGTATGTGTGGTGTGTGTGTATGTGTGGTGTG